GAGAGAGAGAGAGAAGGCATATGCCTCAAAAGCTAAACTCTCTTTCCCTTTCTCTGAGGAAAGAGAAACAGGAGGGGAAGGATAAATATGAGGATTTGCAGGCCATGGTCTGACCACCCCCACTACCACCAACACCACCATCCTTCGCTACATTCGAGCATTAAGTCATAATTAGATTCCATTGCCATCACCACCACCACCACCACCACCACCACTACCACACACCTCCTCAGAGAATCACTCCTATCAATTTGTTTATCCATCTCTCTGCAATCCTCTGTGTTCTTTGTTACTTGTCATCCCCCATCTTTTCCCTTCTCTGATATCATCAATCCCCTCTACCTCAGCTTTTGAGCATTCAAAAGCTCTCTTGTCCTGACTCAGTCTTCCCCTTCTTCTGCATGTACTTTTGCTATGCATACATATGTATATAATGATAATAATAACACATCCATGTGGCAATCTGAAAGATAATTGTCAATGAATTAACCAGCAGAATTAAATGTCAAACTCACACAAAATAAGCAGATTAAACATGAGAGAAAAATGAAAATATTGCCATGAGAATAAACTTGTGATATAAACTTCAAATATGGGTTTCTTTCCTTCCCATTCCATTCCATTCCATTCCGTGCTTTTTCTTTACTTCTTGGAAATGAAATAAGCATAAGAATAAACCGCACGTGCGCACGTGCCAAAAGGTCTTCGGCCCGCCATCTTCCCTCTCCCGCCATCTTCGATCTCATGGCTTCCACGCACTCGCCCACACCACCGGCTGCTCCTTCCAATCCAGGAATATTCCGCCGGCAGCCTCCTCGGATTCTTCGGCCGCTGCCCGCATCGACCAGCCTTCCCTGTACCTCCTCAGAAGCGCCCGCACGTCGTCCGCCACGTCCTCGCTGAAGGCCGCCGGCGCGAACCCGGCCGCTCGCATCCGCCTTGACCACCCCGCCGCCGTCTCCCTCCGCTCGGCTGAGTCCGCAGCCGGGCATGCCACCAAGTCCACCACCGCTCGCCCCGCCGACCGCTCTAGCGCCAGCCGCTCGTTGCTCGTCCTCGGGAAGCTCTCCTCCAGCGACTCGAAGTAGGCCGTGAAGAATCTCACGCTCTCCCTGAAGCCCTTCAAGAACGCCTCCCCTGCCTCCTCCCCTCCTCCTTCCCCGCCTCCCAGGTCGGCCTCCTCCTCGACCACCGTCACGATTCTTGGCTGGAGCCGCCGGAGAGAGGAGATTAGCTCGTCGCGGCGGCGGCCCGCGGGTGAGATGCCGTGGAGCGCGTTTACGCAGTTGATGGCGAGGGCCACGCCGCTACCCTCCCGGAGGTCGAGGCTGTCGAGGTCGAGGTCCGACAGATCGCCGGCGTGGTGAACGACGTTGAACCGGAACGGAACGCCCATCAGCCGCGCGAACTTCTCCATCCGCTTTCCGATCTCCTTCATCACCCGTTGCACGGACGACGACGGCGAGACCGACGACACCACCGTCGTGATCGTCAGGTGCGGCGTGTCGTCAGAAGACCGCGTCGCCAGCGCCTCCAGCAGCGTCGGCCACTGAGTGCAGAAGGTGTTACTGAGATCGAGTATGTGCAACCTCTGCAACGCGGATGAGGGATCGAGGAAGGCCTCGAGGATAGCGCCGTTGGCGGCGACGTGGCCAAAGGAGGACCAGGGGCTGAGCTCCTGGAACCGAAGCGCGGTCCGGCGGGTGGAGTCGAAGGAGCAGTTGCGGTCGGAAGCGGCGGACAGGCTGCACAGAGTACGGGGCCCCGAAGACGTCAGGCGGGCAAACAAACCCTGGAGGAAGTAGGCTGCCACCTTCTGCTCGGTGTCGCCATAAGGCGACGAGACCTCGTTCAGCGTCCACATGAGCTGCTGCACCCGCTGGCTGTCTCGCCCCGCCACCGCGCGAGCGCACTCGACCAGCAGCTGCGACGCCCACCTTCCGCCGGCTCCCGAGGCGCCGACAGCGGACGAGGAAGGAGAGGAGAAGTCGAGGTTGAGGTCGTGAGGGAAGGAGAGGTCTGCAGGGTCGAAGATGGGAGTAGGAGCGGGCGTGGTGGTGGAGGTGGTGGAGGAGGGAGGGCGATGGGGGTGGTGCAAGTGCTTGGAGGAGGAGGAGGAAGAGAAGTCTTCATCCATGTAAACCAGATGGTTGGTGCCGCATTCTTCTTGGTAGTACTGCTGCTGCTGCTCCTCCTGCTCCTGATGGAAGTAGTAGTAATAGTCCTTGTAGTTGATCTGCGGAGCCTCAGAGGATCTCGAGCTACTGGAGCTGCGACTCAAGCTGTAGGAAGATTGCTGGTGAGAAGACTGTGGGCTAACGAATCTAAATAAAGTGTCCATCTAACGAAGATCTCTCAGCCCCACCCTTCCACATAGATACGTAGACACATAGAGAGAGAGAGAGAGAGAGAGAGAGAGAAAAGACAGAAGAAGAAGAGGAAGAAGAAGAAGACAACAGTGAAGTAGGGCTTAAAAGAAGATGGGAGAGAGAATGAAGAGGAGGAAGAGGATCCGGGAGTGGTGTGAAGTGTTAACTTTGGTGAGTGGGTGGAGGAGCGCATGCTTTTTAACAAGGCATAGGAGCGAGATGGGGAAAGGAGAAGAGGGTCGCCTTTCTTTTGATGCTCCTTTTGGTGCAATCGATGCATGGTGGGGGAGTATGGTGGAGTCCATTTCTTTCTCGGCTTCTGCTGTTGCTTTTGCTTACTTTCCTCTCACTTCTTTCCCTGTAATATATATATGTATATATATATATGTATATATATGCTCGAAGAAAAGCTGATACATACAAAGCTCCAAAGAAAATATTTGTGGAACAGCATCTGAACACGAAAAAGCCCGAGGAGGAGGAAGAAGAGCGAGAGCAGAGAAAGCAGGCGATGGAAGTGTTAGGCGTGCAACAGGTAGTAGCAGAGAGAGAGAGAGAGAGAGAGAGAGAGAGAAAGGTAGGTGGAGCGCGTGCATGGGGGGCATCATCATCATCAACAACAACAAGCCCACCACCCAGCAGCAGCAGCAGCTCCCGAGACATTCTTTTGCGTCTAATCCCTGGATCCGCCATGCCCACGCTCCTCCGCCACTCTTTTGCTGGCTTTTCCCATGATACAAAGATTACTTTAAGGCTGGATGCGGTTTGAATGGGTGCAGAGGCCGACGACCCCTCCCCTCTCCCCCTCCTCCCCCTCCGTCTTCCATTGGTGTGCAAGGAAGACATTCCATTTGGCTCAAAAATGGGCCATTTAGGTAGGAATGATGGCTATGCAATCGCATGCCTCAAGGAGGGCCGACCAATCATCATATTCACCAGCTCGCTTGGTTTTGGTGCTGTCTGCAGCTGCTTCCCTTTGTGTCTCCGTTTCAAGGTAAAGGCTTAAAGCTGTGTGTCTCACTAAAGCAATGGCTCTTGAACACCTACCCTACACGACCACCTTCTCAGGACAGCTTGTTGTAGGTGCGTTTGCCAAGTTCTTGTAATGATTTCTTTTCTGTGCACAATATTTGAAAGAAGAAATTAAAAGACAAAAAAAAAAAAAACAATTGGTGCTACAATTATTTTTCTTATTTGAATTTGAATCAAACCAATCAAGATCGATTAAAACAAAAAAAAAAAAAAAAAAATTCAGATGAATCTGTCATCAAATTTAAGATTTTTATCAGCCAATGTGACCAAAAGAAATCCAACTCTTCTTACTCCCAAGGATGTCTTTTCTTGTCTTTTGCCTGACATGAGGGTTGGGTGATGGACGCATGGAAGCGTCCTCCACTGTGTTTGTGGAAGCTTTTCTTTGAATCCAAGCCAAAGAACATGAGCGTCATCATTTGTTTGGAAGGAATACAAGAAACCGAGACGGCTTTGTCGTTGTCTTCTCTATTCTAACCACACAATGGAGCACCACCATCTTTAGGTGCACTTCTCTCTTTCTCCTTTTGTCTTCCCCATTGTGCGAAGAGACA